TGAACGCGCATGCCTGCAAGTCGGGTCAGCAAGCTCTGTTCTGATGCTGCTTGCTGGGCAGCACAGTTCGGTCTTCGTTGACGAAGCCAACGTCCTGAAAAGCGGCTACGGCGGAGGAAGCACTGGGCGTCAGGCTCCACACTTCGCTGGTCGTGCTCGTGTGCCCACGGGGTGTCGTGGTGCGCACCGTGCAGATATCGCAACTGGCTTCAGGCTTCGAGAGCAGTGGGAGGCCAGCAAATTGAGCATCGCAGTGCTGGAGCTGTTCTGGGGGACTTTAGCAGGCTGCGCAGGCTCCTAGGGGTAGTTCAGCCCTCGAGCTTCTCTCTCAAGGCCTGCCGCGCTGGGCACGCCCGAGCTGGTGGCCGGCGGTGCGTCGTGGTCCCAGCTCCTCGAGGCTGGTGAGTGGAGGGGCACGGCCGCGTTCGCCTCCCGTGTCATTGACGCCAGCTCCGATGAGGATTACTATCTCTCCTTCTGTGCGCCCAAAGAGTGAAGGTTTGAGTAAAGCGGCGTTGGGAGGTCTAGGCTGCGTTGGGCGGGCAGTCTTTCGGCGTGGTGGGGTTGGGTGGAGCTGCCTTGGTGCACCCCTCTCCCCTCCTCTGTTGTCCACTGCGCGGGGTGACGACGAGGGGGGCGGCGAGGAGGGCGGCTTGGCTGGGCGTTTCCACCAATCACGCCGACCGAAGACGGCGTACCCAAGGTAGGTGTCTGGTGTTTGGTTTCTCCCAATGCGACGAGACCCAGGACAAAATGTGTGGGCATAACAACCTGTGTCATGCAGCCGGCCGGATGTTCCAGGGGGGAGGTGATTTGAATGACTGCGATGCAGTGTGCCTATATGAGGGGCCTGTGGGACTCCACTGGTCCCGCGAACGCCCCCGTCGCCTTCACCCGTCTGGAGGCAATTGGGGCTCAAGCCACTCTCGTGGCACCTCTTCACTTTTCCCTCCCTCCCAAGCCCACAGGAGATTGAGGGCATGCGTGTGTGTGTGTGTGTGTGTGTGTGTGTGTGTGTGTGTGTGTGTGTGTGTGTCTCTGTGTGTGTGTGTGTGTGTCTGTGTAAGGGTGGGCTGTTTTTCGGCGCGGTGGGGTTGGGCCGAACTGCCTTGGGACGCCCCTCGCCTCTCCTCTGTCGTCCAGTGCGCGGGGGGACGACGAGGGGGGCGGCGAGAAGGGCGGCTTGGCTGGGCGTTTCCACCAATCACGCCTGCCGAAGGCGGCTTGACAGATCCTGAGTCGTGTCAGAACGCTCTTCTTGGGATTTCACATCATCGAATTTTGGTCACTCGCAGATATCTAAAGCGATTGTGCGCGGCGCTGGTGCGATCGCCACATGTTCGGGCGCCTCCCCTTGCCCAGTGCCGCGGCGAAACATCGCTCGCCGTCAGTTGAATGTGGGTCATCGTCATCATCACCAACATCATCACCACCATCATCATCAATACTAGCAGCAACAGTAACACCAGCAAAAACAATATCGTCGTCGTTGTTGTCGTCATCCTCTCCCTCGTCCTCCCCCTCCTTTTCTTCCTGACCCTCCTCCCCCGTCTTCCCCTCCCTCCTCCTCGTCCTATTTCCATCAATCGCCCTCCCTGCTGCCTCCTGGCTCCTCTCCTCCTCCTATTCCTCCCCTCCTCTCTCCTATCCTCCTCCTCCTCCTTCCCCTCCTCCTCCTCCTCCTCCTCCTCCTTCCCCTCCTCCTCCTCCTCCTCCTGCTCCTCCTCCTCCTCCTCCTCCTCCTCCTCCTCCTCCTCCTCTCCCTTCGTGGTACTTCTGTCCCAACCCCACTTTCAGGAAACCGACGCGACGCTGGGGGAGCGGCTGCGGGTGCTGGAGCAGCAGAAGCAGGCTGAGTACTTTTCTTTTGACGGCAAGGGGGGGGGCACCCCCTGCTGCTTCTCTTGCTCCTCCTTCTCGTCTTCCTCCTCCTACCCCTTCCCTTGTGGCACTTCTGCCCTCCCCCCCCTGCCGTCCCCTCCCCCTGGAGGAGACCGACGCGACGCTTGGGGAGCGGCTGCGGCTGTTGGAGCAGCAGCAGGCTGGGTTGGGGGCACCTTCAGCTGCTCCTCACCTCCCCCACCTCCGCCCCTCCTCCCCCTCGGCACTCGGGACTGTTTCAGGAGCTCGCGCACCCATCGCGGGCGTTGCGTCGTCGCTCCCTGGTCGGTCCTAGACGGTCTTGAGAGCGGAGCTGTCCGCCTGCGCCGAAGCCCTTGAGCGAGTGCCAGGAACAATTGGATCTGTAACCGATCATTTTTCGTTAGCCCAGGTCTGGTCCAGAGGAATTCGCTTTCACCTCTCGTCTTTGCCTTTTAACGCTGACCTTTGGACCATAAGCTGCTTTGGACGGCCGTGAAATTCAAGCTGGCAGGAGCGCACCCCATTTGGCTGTCTCCTCTGAGCTTGATCTCACCTGTGCGGTCGGTAACGAGTGTGCGCATTTTTTCGCGGGTAGAGCTGCTCAGGTGGGATGGCTTGATTTTCTCGTGTGATTTTCTCCCGAGACCGACCGCAGAGACGCGTAGGCAGCCCTGATCAGCAGACGGGCGCGAAAAATTCGGGTGTAGTGCATCCAAACCGATTCCGGGACTCCAAGGATTGAGGGGTGTTTAATTTCAAAGCGGGATTCTCGCGTCTCTCGCCTTATATTCGCGCGCATTCATGTCAAACTGTGGCAGTCGTTTCAATCACATGGAGGGCGGCTCCTTTTCAAGCTGGTGCTCTCGCTTTAATGCCTCGCACAGTCGTCCTAAATGTTTGCAACTCTTACAGTGGTGATGGATGGTTCCTTCTCATATTGTGGCTTTCGCATCAGGCTTCTTTAATATTACAGGCCAGCATTCGAACACATACAACAGGTGCACGGATCGAGGGCGGATTTTATTCAAACTTGCGCATTTGCTTCAGATTTCGGGTGCAATTCATGGCCAGGAACTTGAAGATGTGGCGCAGCTGCCAGGATCGATGGCGGCTCTTTTTCAAACTGGTGCTCTCGCTTGCGACTTCTTCGGCCCCCGTGACCAGAATATGACAGCTTGTGCAGGAGTCACACGGGTCGGGAGGACCTAGTTCAAAATGGGGATCGTGCTGGGCATCTTGTTGAGCTAAGCGATCATCGCTTTGCGCATTCTTTCTCCCTGGCGGGAAGAACGCAAGGCCGTTTACTTTCGAAACGGGGCCCTCGCCTGAACGGCAGGCCCCTCAGATGCTCGTCTTTTAATGAGGAAGCGCTTCCCGATGCGAAAAGAAGGAAGGCTTGCAGGGGACTTGTGTGGAGGAAGCTTGCGGCGGGAGAGTGTGTTGCAGCATCGATGGTGCATTTTGGGTTTACTCGGGTCCTCCTCCTCCTCCTCCTCCTCTTCCTCCTCCTCCTCCTCCTCCATCCCTTTCCCGTATAAGCAATTCCTCCCTGACGCATCACCAGAAGCGTCAGAGGGCGGGCCGGGCGTTTCGCTTGAGACTTCCTCACCATCTATGATCCTGAAGCTTGACAAGTGCAACAGTTTCACGGATGGAGGGCGGGTGTTTTTCACAATGCGTCTCTCGCTTTAGTGCCGCCCGCATTCGGTTTACTGTTTGCAGCAGTTTCACGGATGGAGGGCGGTTCGTTTTCCAACTGCTTTTTTCGCCTGGGTGCCGTGCGCATTCAAGGCGGGCCGTTCTCAAGATGTGGATTTCGCATTAGCGCCGCTTTCAGTCTCGCGGATGGAGGGCGGTCCGTTTTCAAAATGTGGCTCTCGCCTCAGCGCCGCGCGCAGTCGTCTTCAACATTTGCAGCAGCTTCAGAGATGGAGGGCAGGCCGTTTTCAAAATGTGGCTTTCGCATTCGCGCCGCGCGCATTTGTTTCTGAAAGTGTGCAGCAGTTTCAAGGGTTCGCATGATTGAAATTACACGAATGACGTTCTGGCGCGGTTTTGGATGGCCAGGGCGCAACAGCCACGTTGATTCGCGGTGTTGAAGTCGCACGAATGGTGTTCTGGCTCGGTTTGGGACTGTCAGGACGCTGCGGTCACGTGTCACGTTGATCCGCTGCGTGGGAACTCCAGGAACGGTGATATGGCACGAGGGAGGATTCTCATACAGTTGTTTTCTAACGGGCCCCTTCCCGCAGTGGAGAACTTGTGTTAGGGACCTGTGATGAAACAGCTTGGAGGGAGGGTTGATTGCAACTTTGCTGATGCGTCTTAAGTTTACACTGGTCCTCCTCCTGGTGGCACTTCTGGCCCAGCCCCCCTTACCCTTCCCTGGAGGAGGCCGGCGCGACGCTGGGGGAGCGGCTGCGGGTGCTGGAGCAGCAGAAGCAGGCTGGGCGCTCCTCCCTTCCAGGGTGGGGTGGGGGACACCTCCTGCCGCTCCTCCTCCTCTTCTTCTTTCTCCTCCTCCTCCTCCTCTTCCTCCTCCTCCTCCTCCTCGTCCTGCCCCTCCTCTTCGTGGCATCCCTGGCCCAAATCCCCCCCCCTCGAGGAGACCGACAACGCAAATACGCCACACGATATGCGCGACGCCTCCGGGGGAGCGGTATGCGGCGGGGATGGAGCAACAGAAGCAGGAGGCGCTTTTCTCTCGACGTGAGGGGGGGGCAAATTCTGCGACACAAACAAATCCGCCGATATTCATCTTCATAAGCATCTTTTAATCATAAGACCATTAAGAAGAATAAGCATACGAAGGTAAAATAAGAAGAGAAGATTGTAATCCATTCAAGAAAAAAATAAAAGAATACCTCCTCCTAGTAAAACTCTTCTTCGTGCCTTTTCTGGCTCAGCCCCCACCTCCTCAAGGAGACTGACGCGACGCTGGGGGAACGGCTGCGGGTGCTGGAGCAGCAGAAGCAGGCCGGGCGCTTTTTCCTCGCTAGGGTGGGGTCGGGGGGCACCACCTCCTGCTGCTTCTCAACGACCCTTCGTCGGCCCCTCCTCCTCCTCCTCCTCTTCCTCCTCCTCTGCCTCCTCCTCCTTCTCCTCCTCCGTCTCCTCCTCCTCCTCCTCCTCCTCCT